GATTTTAACCAAAATGGTAATGACATCTCTTCATAATATCACGCATATAACATGTCTTTGTGTGTCGTGCAATTCAAATTCTTATCAGATATTATGCTCTAAAACATCAAATGCTATGCAACATAAAAATACTTCACCTTATCTGGGAGCTCCTCCAGTGATTGCCTGAAGTCTTCTATCATGTCAGCAAATGAGAACTCTCCACTGACAATGTCCCGGAACTGGTCCAGACCTTTCCCTAGAGCGCCAGCAGCATCACCTTTGACGGCATCGTAGAGCTCAACCAGTTTCTTGAGGTTGTCCACGCCGTACTCCTGCAACAGGGACAAGGACATGAAGAACTGCACAATTATATAAACCCTAAAAAGACATCTTTGCAAATGACATAATGTACAATACATTCTAATGAAGGTTGCAAATGTTGTCATATGTAACCAGGTGTGCTATTAATCTTGTGGCAATTTGACGGAAAATTGTTTTCTTTTTTTCAATATATGACAGTCGACTTCTCTGAAAACTCCTTGGCTCATCATCACAAATGTACATCAGCTATACTGCGACTGAGCATAGACAAATTATTATGGATTATACAGCGCCAAACTTTCAACTTGAACAGGCGCTGAGTGGCGATTGACATGGGACACAATAAAGGAAGAGTTAAGTTACCATTTAAGTCATACGTTCTCAGGCTGCGGGTCATACACTCCATGCACCTGAACAGACATATCACGCAGGAAGGGACAACCAGGTGCTACTCTGGAATCGCTGTGTGATTCAAAAGGCTTGCTTAAACAGATGTGTGCTTAAATGTTTGAGAAGACTCAGGGTGGTTTTAACTGGGAACATTTAATATGTGTAGTATATCGCATGTCGTTTTCACACTGTTTTAGCCAAGAAAAAGGTCCCCTGACAGAGCAATTAATAACCTGCTAAATCACCTCACCTGCAGCATATTAAGGTTGTAAGCAGCTCCTCCCTTGAAGCAGATCCTCGCCAGAAAGAAATCAAGATTGATGCCCATGAAGCCAAGGTGGATGCGGGCGTATGCTTCATCGTGGATGTTCACTCGCATGTGTCCACTCAGAGGCGCTGTAACATGCAGTTGTATGTTGCAAAACTGAAAGATATTGCTCTACTTCTAGGCTGTTGAAACTAATGGTGTGACCCATAAATTCAAACTGCCAGGAGGCAAATGACATCTTTTCCAAGATATTTCGAAGTATAGAAATTACGTTGCACTGAATTGGATTGATTTTGGATTGATCTGCATTGCTTCAAGTTCAGGTTTTTTGGTATTGGAAGATTTTGCTGAACAAACATATGCTGAGAAGTTACAAATAACAGTGGTATTTTATAACATGAACGAAGCTGTCTGATTATTGTAAACACTGATTATTTATTAGCTCTCTTTGCTGTAACGAAATGGATATGATATATCTGTGTGTGAGTATGTGTGTGTGCGTGCGTGTGTGTGTGTGATCAGTGACACGAGCATACCTATATGGAAGTCCAAAGCATTGTTCATGGTCAGTCCAAAGGACGCTCCAATGGTTGTTGACCCAAGCATCTTCTTCCAGTCTACACTTGGTGAAGCCAGTCTGAACTCTAACTTCTCATCAAAGATTCCCCTTTTGTGTCGGTCGTGTACCTCAATATCCCGCTTGCCAACATAGCGAGGGTCCACATGAAATTTGGATCCATTCATGGCGCTGTAATGAGTGAGCCAGGTTTAATGTCGCTTTGAAAGTTGTTCATTTGAAAAGTAATTCACATAATCTTACAACAAAGGGGTCTGGGTTTTCTTATCTGTATGTAGTGACTTGGGTATTCTACAATGAATTTGGAATATTGTCGATTCTGATCGGTCAGTAAGGGGTTTCAATCTACAATAAGTACCTCTGATTGAAACAGCTGGTTTAACGGCCGCATCACCACGGACACACAATATTTTCAAAGATTTCGCGTTTAATATACCCAATTGATTTATTTATGGATACCCTAACTCTACATTGAAAACACTGTATGTTCATCCTTCAAGTCGATAATATACAAAATGTGTTCACAAGTATTTTATGATGACATAAAACGGGTTTATATGAATTATGTAACACACGAAACTGTTCAACATTCACCCTTGTTGTCTGTACAGGGGTGATATGGCCTCGGCCTTTGGGTGGGCCTGATATTGTAGCAGAGCTTCATATCGGACCTTCTCGTCGTCATCGTACAGAGCTGTCTTTAACATCAGATGTGCTGCCTGCAACAGATGATATATCATGCATACATACATAACTGTCTTCAACATCAGACGTGCTGCCTGCAACAAGTGGTGTATCATTCAGATAGAAGATTACGTATATGCCAAACATAACCTAAGCCAATGGGACATTCCTGTTCAAAGTAACGTTTTGACTGCTGCTTACAAAATACTTATTTATATCAAATGCTTAACTTTCGGTTTTGAAAAGTGTACAGTGAAAATGACAGATTTCAATACCGTTTCATGTCGGTACTTCCTCATGGCGTGTATCCCAGCTCGCTTCACCCACTGAGAGTTGGTGGTGTTGACATGTGACACAATCATCTCAAATGATTGGTCGAGACCGGCATTACCCAGAGATCCCAGCAAGATAACTCTCCAACGGTCGTCATCAAGGACTTCACGTTCTGTCATGGTGGACCGTTTCCGACGGAAGATCCAGGGATCTGGAACAGATGTACAGTAATGGACAACTAAATCATGATCACACTGAAAGTAAGTGAATGTTTTCCAGCGCTGCTGTCAATAATATTCGTGCTAAGTCAGTCAATCTGTAAAGATCAGTCACACGCAAACCAATGACAAGCATTATCAACTGCCTACATCATCTCGAAAAATGAAACACAAATTTGCCTGACCACACAATCCGTTGTCTCTTTCGCTGGCTCACTATTCAGACCCGTGAACATTTCGAAGCTTGGATGTCTGAACGCATGCACGTGTTGTTGAATACCGTGTACACGGGTACGAAATGGTAACTACATACGATCAGCGTCAAAATGACCGCATCTGTGGTCCAATGGATAAAGAGATCAGCATTAATCTAATTAAACAAGGACTGGGTTGGCTCGGTATAAAACACGTACGCATGCACGCACGCTAGCACGCTAGCACGCACACATAATGTGGTGTTAGTACTTGTATCTGTTTATGTATTCTGACTCCAACAGTTATGCTCACCATGTAATCCTAGCCATCCCTCCAGCTTCATGACAATTTCAACCGCTTCCTCCTTCCTCCCAGCGTCCAACAGTCGTCTAGCAACCACCCCCAATGCAAGCACCATTCTGTGATATGTTCCTTGTTCCTGTAAAGCCACGGGGGCCTTCTCGCGTTCAAAACACAGGCTCTTCAGTTTCGTGATGATATTCTGCCGAAAGGATAAAACCACAAATAATCTAGGACATAAATATAATATACTTTATCAATTCATGTCTCTGTGGTAACTGTTGTATCACACATATCTCCACTTACGTCTATCGGTTGTCCATCAAGTGAGATGATGTACAACATGTTCTTGTAACCGTTATATCCCACATATTTACACTTACGTCTATCGGTGGTCCATCAAGTGAGATGATGTGGAACATGAGCTTGTAACTGTTATATCCCACATATTTACACTTACGTCTATCGGTGGTCCATCAAGTGAGATGATGTACAACATGAACTTGTAACTGTTATATCACACATATTTACACTTACGTCTATCGGTGGTCCATCAAGTGAGATGATGTACAACATGAACTTGTAACTGTTATATCACACATATTTACACTTACGTCTATCGGTGGTCTATCAAGTGAGATGATGTGGAACATGAGTCTCTTCACCAGGGAGGAGTCGGGTCTGGATCTGTTGAGGACAAGGTCTAGCAGGAGTTGCTGGGACAGGTCTGTGGTCAGACTGGCGATAGCATCAAACATATGGTTCTGGTCCTTGAATGTCGTGGTCAGTCTGAAAGAGATGGAGGGAGGGATTGAAAGGGTTCACCGCTGTTCCAGTCTTAAACCACAATAGTAAATACTTTTGAGTGTTCTTGTTTAAATCATTGAGGTTTACAAAGTCTTTACCAGTCTCCCTTTAAAGCCATATTTAAAAGCAATTATTGTTTTAAAGTATCCACCAGTGCACCTGTTTAAATATCATTTCAGGTTGTGTGGATAAGAGTTAGACTGATGTGAGCATAAATATGTCCCCCCTGAACTTTTGTCCTGTTGGACCTTGGGTTTGGTTCCTGTGAACTCCTGGTATGTCGATTCCAACAGAACAAATGTTCAGGGGGAACACATTTACCCTCACACTAAGATATAGTCCCCGAAGTTATGTATGAGGGTAAATAAATGTCATTATATAAAGGAACCCTCAAGTCTCTTAAATGGGATGAGAATAGGCTGACAGAGTTGGGGATGAGAGTGGAAGGAGGCGAATATTTTACTAAATATATACTCTTGGGTCTGTAAGAGTGACTGAGGTAAGATTACAAGGCTAAAGAGAATTGGTCTCAACGAAGGCAACCATGAAGGTATATTCACATTTTGCAGCCATTGTGACTGCCCATTCTCCTAGGACCTGCCTCTTTAGTGAGGTAGTAGTGACTTTTTGTGGAATCGAATAGGATATACATATAGCTAGGAATTGGTATCTCTCTGCTTTGTATAATTATATTATTATTTGTTTTTACAAAAATAAAAAAGTATGACGTTTTGGATGCTCATTGATATACTTGGTTTTCTGTTAAGTTTAATTTCGAACATGTATTGATATACATGCAGGTGAAGATTACTATATCATTGCTTTCAATCACATACAATATTGATGTACACACTGACTTTTACATCAGACTTCTTTAGCTTGTTTCCATCAGACTTCTTTAGCTTGTTTCCATATGTAATCTAATCGTCTATTCACCTCGGCCTATCTGTCAGGTAATGTTCAGCAAGGAGAACCAACGTCTGGTCAGGTATGTCGCGGAGAACAGATACAAGTCGCGTGAAGCATAAGTCCGACTTCTTCGAACCTGAAAAAAAGACCACAAACATTTTCATTAATCCAGATCCTTCCCTTATTACAAAACATCTTTGAAAATATAGTTGAGTTTCCGTGTTATCAGTTTGTAAGTGGGGTCATATATATGATTTAGAAGATTCTATATACAGGGCGGTTTGGTGCTTAGTGTCCTGCATGAAACTTTCATATTGCCATTGTCATTTATACATGTAACTGTACCTTTTTCTGGCTCGTTTCGCATGCAAGTTAGGTTCCCCTTCACATATTGCAGGTGTTCCTCCACATCGATTGCTGGCTTCTTGCGCTTCACCTGGAAGAGGAACGTACATGTACAACAGATTAGTTTTTGCTACATTGTACGTCTGAATACAATTACGTGGACATTTTAATTCACCGTCCAATATGGTGGTCAAAATGAAATATACACATTACAGTAGGGTATTCTTTGCGAAGGTCACTGTTTACTTGTATACTGAAATGAATACGGGAACACTCAGTTTTAGACAGGAACATAATATCCCGGCTTGGCCTACCAAATACTCGTTGGAAACAATGCACTAAACATATCTCAGCATTTGAGTCTGACATGTGTTTAATTTGTATGTGCGCTATTTCAATGGTATGACAGTACAGATTATTTCCCTCTATTTTCCCTTATTCGTTTTCATCAGTATATATCTGTAGGTATTACCAGTTACCTCTTTAATATGAATGGACGCCAAGGTCATATTTGTCTTTGGTCTCTTGGGAATACCAACAACCTTGTGTTTGGTGAGGAACACCAGCTTTCCGGAGCCTTGCGCTGACATCTCGGGGAATTCTGGAGACAGTAAGCATGTAGACTCATATGTTCCGGTTTCAGCCTTTACTTCATAACGTCAGGAATCATGATTTGTCCGAAATGATGATTTACCAATGCAGTGAATGTGTTCATTTAATGATACATTTAGTTAATTCTAGTAAGTTAAATTTGAGCTTAATTTTAGTCTTAAGAAAATGTGGTAAAATGTACATCTATCTCATGTCAAACCCATATAAGAAATTATGAAGTGAACCCTTTACTGTACAATCATCCAACAGATCATATGCAAAGAAGCGTCCGTAATATATTTGATAGCCGTCTGTTGTTACTTGAAAATGCTTACCAATTTCCGTGAAGTTGTTGACCGCCTTAACAGGGCGACTGTTTTCATACGGGTTGTATCTAGTTAGATATCGGAAATAAACGGAAATAGTGATCAACTGGATAGTATAAGTATACTCGTGGATTTACCTACTAAAGAGATACTCGGAATCAGTTCGTGACTTTGGTGTTGCGCCGCTTTTAGCAAAATCACGGCGTTTCACATTGTACCCATGTATAATTGAATCCAGGCATTCGGTATGACGAGGGAAATTCAATGTTTTAACCACATTGTTAGCCAAACCACCAGCCCAAACCCGGCCCAAACCACCAGCAGGGAGGACCTACATCGCTCGAGAACCCCCACGGTGTGAAATAAAGATGAAGTGGGTTGGATCAGCTGTTAATATCAACATAAAGATGATGATCTGGAAAATATTTAACATCCTCACCCTTCTGCAGTCTTATCGATGACCTGAACCTTCTCCTGGACTTGAATGGTGTGCACCGTTCCCAGAGCATTGTCGTAATATAAGGTCTGAAAATAATTTAAGTGAAATGAAAAAAAAACCGTATGAAATGTCAGCCCTACAGAGAAACTTCATTGAAGTCAGCTCATAATGACGTAATGTATTAAATTTGTGACGTCATGAACAATGGATGACTATCGTATTATAGTCACAACAAAGCATTGTGACGGCATATGGCTACAGTTGATTAATCAGCATTTAAAATCGCTAAAATGTACATGTGTAAATATCATGCATTAATATTTATTACGTCACAGGGTAAGTGATGTGTCAGTCGGACAGTGACAGTAGCCAATATAGTTCCAACTGAAATCTGTTTCTTATACAGTGGCGAAGCAACATATACGCAAAACAACAATTGTTTTTAATTGCCTTTCGCGGCAATCCATCTGTCTGTCCGCTAGAGTAACTGCCCTTTGTCAAAGGGAAGCTACTCTAACCTTAGTCTATGAGACGTCACGGCCACGGTCAGTCGTTGTTGACAGTCGGTCTGTCCTGTCATAACGTTAAGAAGTGTAGTCAGATGTACACACAGCGACAAAACGAAACAAGGTAACAATTCAAAAACATTTCGGACAAATCCAACTATTTTAATTTGTGGAGAAGGTTTCAAGCCGCAGAGGTCTACAAGCACAGATATAGCTACTCATCCTGCTTGGCTAGGCCTCGTGCCCTCGCAAAATTGTTTCGAAATTTATATCTCTAAAGTTGCCCAAACTCATAAAATGCCTTAGCTACGTCACAGTTAGAGACTGATTTCAGTATATTAGACTGTTCTTTTGATAATGATAGCAATTAACCCTGTAGTTTATCCAGATTCCCGATGGTTAATTCTGACTCGATCGCCGAATGATGAGGGCGACGCCATGTTTGTTTATAAACAGTGAAAGTAGTCCCTACTTGACCTTTGATATTTGCATCTCTATCCGCATATGACCCCAACGGATATCGTTTTTATCCGTTGGCTTTATCCTGCCGAGAAACCTACCCATTATATGATAAATATACATATTGTGATTATGAGTAGTCAATTAAAAGAACATAAAAAAAAATCATCCAGGCATTATTTACCTTGGTATAATCTGACGTCGCATGCTTGACGGGGTGGTGGCCCGGGTGCCGTGTCTTGGTGAACACGTGACCTGTGAGAGTCGGCCGCACAGTGTAGGTGGCGTTGTGGGGACCTTGAGTATGGATGTTACAGATACATAAACTCAAATAGCGTTAATGAATTCTAAAATCATTCACCCGACGAAGGAGCAAGCATATACTCCGAAACGTTGTGTTCCTCATAAGAAAGAAGTTGACATCCATATATTCTCTTCCTTATGTGTATCACTTCTAAATGCCTTCCAAAGACCGAAATCATGAAATTATAAGCTATTAAAGAAAGGGTCATGTAAACGAAATACCAGCAAAAGAGCCAAAGGTAATATGGACTATCTATCTATCAACTGTCCATGCAATAATACTTCATTAAAGTATATAATTGTTGCATACAACGAATGTAATAACCATTATATAACATATTGACAATTATACGCATGTCTCCTCTGTATATTGCAGTGTGTATGAAGTACCAGCTACAGAATACATGTAATGTAGATCTTTTCATGACTTTCACAACGGGCACACCTTCAGGGCCTCAAAACCATTCCTGTCCCCGGTCTACCACACACCCAACCTCCAATCCTACACTTTCCCAGCCACCGACCCATTCCCGACCTTCAACACATCCCCAACAACCAACCCACCTCGGACCTCCAACCCTTCCCCAACCACCAATTCAACCTTTCCTCAACGTCAAACCAATCCACGGCCTCGACACATTCCAAAGGATCAACCCTTTCCCAACCACCAATTAACTTTTCCCCAACCAACAACCAGTCCACGGCCTCCAACACCTCCCCAAGCAACGACCCATGCCAGATACCCAACCCATCCTCTACCATTAACCCGTCCACGATCACCAACCCATCCACGGCAACCCATCATCAGCCTCCACTCCCACCCCATCCCACCCCCGATTACCAACCCTTCTCCCGCCTACAGCCCAGCAGCCAAAGCCTGCCCCAGCAACCCATCCATGGTCACCGACTCATCCACAACCAACAACTCACCTCCGACACCCAACACATCCCCAACCCCTAACCTTCCCCCGATCCTTACCCTCACTTCCAGTCTCTCTCACGTGATAGCCCCAGCCGTCGTCAGTTGCATGGACATGGTCCTGAAAAGACAACCAAGAAACTCAATGTTCTGATACATTGTACCCAGATGATATGGAGTGAGTAAACGTTGCTTTTTTGACAGTCATTATTGTTTTACCCATGTCCAGGCTGCCTATAAAAATAATCACGCGGCAAATCAGTGGATGATAGCCTAAGCAACGAATATTTACAACTATGAGCCTGAATTTCTATTTTAGAAAGAAATACAGCAATGTCATTTTTCTGTCTGAAGCATAAATATATTTTTGGGGACAGCTTATTTCTTTTGATAAAATCCCAGGCTACCAGTAAAATATCAAATGGTGTGTCCCCAATGTTGATTTAAAAACTTGCAATATTTTACACCGTTTGGACATGAACTCACGATCATGGGGTCCTGGTACGCCTAAGGGACGCAACTGTGCAAAGAATCGCGTCTCGGCTAAATCTACGAGGAGGGTCGAACTCAATTAACTTCATATATCGTTAAAGTCAACATCACTACATGATCGATGGAGAATCCATCTTGGCACTATGGTTAATAGGTGTGTTTCCCACGTACGGTACCCTCCCTGTACTTTGGGTTAACGAGATTTCACGGTAGACTAATCCATTCCAATCTCATCGGTAAATGTAAACTTATGGAGTTTGATACTAAGACCGCTTCACCCTGTATGATGCGATCGGGTACAGTGTGAAAACGCAAAACACTCGCTTAGGTATGGAACCCTAGAAGGGACATTGCGACAACGACATTTTGGCCATTTGTTGCATTATCGCTTTTTTGTTATTTGGACATTTTCCCTCGTGTTTGTAAGGGCGACAATTGGACAACGCTACAATTTCCCTTCTAGGAGTCCATACTTATGCCGTGATCAATATTCAAGCTGAATCACGGTGGTCAATGTCAAATTTAGTCCGGACACGACAAACAAGGAATTGACTGCATGATGACCGAGTCACGTTACTGAGGCCACAATCACAGAATGTCACCACTCGATCGTCGTTAGTCCGCTCCTACTATAAGGACTTGGAATCTTGCCTGCCCCCGAATCCCCAATCGGCGACTCGTAGAAGGCTGGGGGACTACGACGCCTAATTTCAGGTTATTTGTAACTGATCATGGAATCCTAAAGTCTGTCATTACCTCAGTGGCCTGGTGTAGACGAGAAGCAAACATGGCGGCGGCTCCCTTTTTCATAGCAACAGCTTCATCGTCGTCGTCGGGAGGGTGATAGACGTGGAGAATCTCGCCATGGGGCGTGATCACAAACGAGAACCTGCGAAATACACATTGAGTGGAGATATGTGGACCTGACACTGAAACCTGGCATCGTCAAGTAAAATACACATCCTATTTGGACACTAGATTGACATTAACTAGACTAACTAAAAATGCCAGTGCAAGAGAATAACTAATCAGTCTCGAATATCTGCCAAAACTGGTACAACGTTTTTCTCTAGATTGGAATCTGCACCAGACCATGTAGCATGCCCTCTCTTTATTTTCGACCAGGTGATGACTCCCTCCCTCCCTGCCTCTCTCCCTCCCTCACTCACTCACATACTCGTCATACTGTGGCATTATATTGAAGATAATCCCCTGAAAATGTTTTACATTCCTTCTCTCGCCAGCCAAATACACTATACAAAATCTATTCTATTCTGGGGGCGGTCGTGTAGTCCAGTGGTTAAAGCTTTCGCTCGTCACGCCGAAGACCCCTACCACGTCCATGAATATAAGTGAGTCGAGATGTATACGTGCTCTTTGTGTGGACAATTACCATTTCGAGAAGTCTAAACGGTAGCCGATGGTACCTGAAAAGAAATAGGAACATATTAAGGAGATCAGCGGATATTGTCTAAATAGGTATAATTACAACGTGACAAAAACCTTTCATAATCATAAGAATGTGTGTATTATTCCTTGTTTTGACTTGTACCATATGTCCCCGTGTATTTTCAGGTGAACACTAGACTTGCCTTTGTTTGTGACGGGTGCCACAGGTTGGGCAGGAATCGACTCGATTTCTTTTGAATATGGAAAGGGTATATCTCCTTAGAAATCTCTTTTAAAAATAGAGCCGATTCTTACGATTCAGATTATTTCATGAACATGTGTTTATGAATCAGGACCAAATAGTAACAAATGTTTACCAGCTGTGAGACATACATGACTTCAGTCAGTCAACATGACATCAGCTGGAATATAATAAAATCGTCCACAAAATGATAATACCGTATCGTGAAAATAGTATTGTGATAAAAATATCGTGAAATTTACCATATCGTAACAAAGGTCGCTGACATTTATTATATCGTTAACTCAATGATCGTTAAAATCATGACTACACGTGGTGCTACACATATCCTGATACGGTGCTTATCGTCAACAAACTAGGTAGCAATACGTACGATCCCGTAACCAAACTAAGTGATACACATATCGTGAAAACAGTGATATCGCGATATATGTTCTTCAAAAAGGAAACGCAAAGCCAGATTTGTGTGAGGTAGGAAAATAGATTTATTCGAGGAACCGTTCAAGGTATTGAGCCAAAATGTTGTGGAGAGAAAACTTGGTAATTGTGGTCATCGGTACATAGGAAAGTCCAAGGTGAAGGTCAGCTACCATCAAAAACGCGTATCTCCCCCGTTGGAATCGAAAGCAGTCTGACATCTCCTGTCCATGGACGAGACGAGTATGCGAATCACATCCTGAGAAATGGTAGCCCACTCGGCCTGCAACGCAAAAGCCAACTGTTGCAACGTCTGTGGTTTTGGTTGACGTCGGCGTAGCCGTCTTCCAATTCACCCCACAGGTGCTCTATCGGGTTCAAATCCGGGGATCTGGAGGGCCAGGGGAGAACATCAACGTTGTTGTTGTGTAGACAGGCTCTTGTGATCCGTGCTGTATGCCGTTGCCGTTGGCTGCAATTGGGAGGACGTGTGGTAGGAGAATTTCGTCATAAGATTGCCTTGGATATGGACCAAACCTGTCCTGCCATGATGAGAGATAGCCGCCCACATCATAACGCTACCCCCACCAAACCTGTTCACTTCCTGTATGTAGATACCGACGTAACGTTCACCCCGACGTCTGTAGACCCGTGCTCTTCCATCCCCTCGACGGAGGAGAAATGTTGACTCGTCGCCAGACATATCTCCATCGCAGTTGAGGCCATACCCTGTGATGACGACACCAATGCAGTCGTTGTGGACGATGTTGTCAAACTCAATATGACGTGTCGAACAGGAGGACTTGCTCGTAGACCTGCTGCTCTTAAACCGTTTCGTACGGTTTGGTCGGAGATTCTGCACAGTCCGGGTATTTGGAATGCGGTTTAGGTGGTTGTAATTCTTACACGTAGTCTATGACGCTACTTCTTTGCACTTCTGTTAATCTTGGCATGTTGTTGAACTGTCACTGTTCGATTAACGCAGATGCTAGGCAATCAAAGACCCTGCACTTTAATACCGTTCATAGTGCTGCTACACGTGCAGTACGTGCAGCTCCATGACCCTTTTGTTAATGCACTGGGTGCGTTTTTTCCAAATCGTACGTGTTTCCCGACTGATGGTTTGTATGTCCTTGATGTGATCACTTGATCCGGGAAATTTGTCACCGACACTATAACACATTAAACATCATTCAGTTTGCACCTCTTGGTCCGCTAACTTGGCTTTTATGGCCAAAATATCTGTGTTGCGTTTCTTTTTTCTAAGAGTATATAGATTATACCGTAAGCTTAACATAGATACAAATATCTAAAGGATACATATCTTGTCGCTGATACGGGGGCCTCAGGTTGATATGGATTATGAAAACGGGCATGTTATAACCTCGAAACATGAACTTTGTTAGGAATCCACGTGCAAAGGGAGAATTAGATACACTGTTAATTGGTAAGGTTAATTAATTTGATCGTTTTATTATTCAGCGCGCAATACGCAAAACGTTCGTGATGTCCCCATCGTATATATCACTTACGCAACCCTCTAAATGTGATTTAAGACACTCCACAGGGTTCACTGTAGGTGGCGTCACATTTGGGTCACCACTGTGGTTTATTACGGGCGTAATTTATTGTTTTACGACATGTCATTAATCTATTTTTTTTAAACCTGAAGTGATTTGTATTTTTCCTGATTTACGTGAAAAGGATTGTTTTTAACGTTCCTTATAGGTATCCATTTAGAAAAGGTCCATATTTTGTTGTCATACAGGGGCGATCGGGTATCCAAGTGGTTAAAGCGGTTATTCGTCACGCCGAAGACCTTGGTTCGATTTCCGGCATGGGTAGAATGTGTGAAGCCTATTTCTGGTGTCCCCCACCGTGATATTGCTAGAATATTGCTAAAAGCGGCGTAAAACCATACTCACTCACTCACTGTTGTCAGACAGTTGTCTGAGAAACTTCCCAAATAACTTCATTAGCAATTTGCTCATCATAGGACTTGGAGTAAGTATGAAACTCGCATCCGTGACCATTAGTGTCGTCATTCCGAGACAAACCGTTGAGCGACTCGGGTCCCAGTGTGGCTATTTTGCTTTGTAAGTTTATCGTGTTTCGCACATAACTTCATTTAAAGAGTGCAAGAAAATGTACATTGAAGAACGGTAGAAGTAAGGATTTGAACCCACGACCAAAGGGTACTCTCAGATAAGGAAAAAAGACCCTGTAAACGTTGTATTATGGTCGTTATAGAAGTTGGTCGATGGTAAACCCAAAGTAGTAACATCATTCCTGCTGGTGTAGCAGTGGCTGTAGTATTAGTATTAGTATTAGTATTAGTATGAGTATAAGTATTAGTATAGGTATTAGTATAAGTATTAGTATTAGCATTAGTAGTATTAGTGGTAGTGGTGGTGGTAGTAGTGGTAGTGGTAGTGGTGGTGGTGGTGGTAGTGGTAGTGGTAGTGGTAGTGATATGGTAATAGTAGTGGTAGTGGTCGTAGTCGTAGTCGTAGTCGCTGCAATATTGCCAGTAGCAGCAATACTACTACTAGTGGTTGGAGTAGTCGTAGTTGTTGTAGTAGCAGCAATATTACCAATAGCAGCAGCAATACTACTAACACTACTGGTTGTAGTAGTAGTAGTACTAGTAGCAGCAGCAACAGTACCGCAGCAGCAGCAGTAACAGTCATTAGCAGTAGCAACAGCAGCAGTTGTAGTTGTAGAAGTGGTAGCAGCAATAGAAGCGTAGCACTCACCTCCTGTTTGTCTGGTCTTCAGATCCAGAGCATACATCTTCACGTAGACCTCCTGTCCGTCATCGCTAACGCGGACGTTTATGTAGCCGACCTGAATCACAAACACAAGATGATGTACATAAGTAGAGTGTTGTATCATAGACACAATATGATATACAGGAGTAGAGTGTTGTATCATAGACACAAGATGATATACAGGAGTAGAGTGTTACATCACAGGCACAAGATGCTGTACAGGAGAAGAGTGTTGTATCATAGACACAAGATGATATACAGGAGTAGAGTGTTGCATCACAGGCACAAAATGCTGTACAGGAGTAGAGTGTTGTATCACAGGCACAAGATGCTGTACAGGAGTAGAGTGTTGTATCATAGACACAAGATGATATACAGGAGTAGAACGTTGTATCACAGGCACAAGATGCTGTACAGGAGTAGAGTGTTGTATCATAGACACAAGATGATATACAGGAGTAGAGTGTTGTATCATAGACACAAGATGATATATAGGAGTAGAGTGTTGTATCATAGACACAAGATGCTGTACAGGAGTAGAGCGTTGTATCACAGGCACAAGATGCTGTACAGGAGAAGAGTGTTGTATCATAGACACAAGATGATATACAGGAGTAGAGTGTTACATCACAGGCACAAGATGCTGTACAGGAGAAGAGTGTTGTATCGTAGACACAAGATGATATACAGGAGAAGAGTGTTGTATCGTAGACACAACATGATGTACAGGAGTAGAGTGTTGTATCATAGACCCAAGATGATGTACAGGAGTAGAGTGTTGTATCATAGACACAGGATGATATACAGGAGAAGAGTGTTGTATCGTAGACACAACATGATGTACAGGAGTAGAGTGTTGTATCATAGACCCAAGATGATGTACAGGAGAAGAGTGTTGTATTATAGACACAAGATGATATACAGGAGTAGAGTGTTACATCAAAGGCACAAGATGCTGTACAGGAGAAGAGTGT